GGGTGATCCTTTGGTCAATTCTCAGGTCCCAACACCACTTGGAAATATTCAGGCTATTGGTCTCGTCAGAGTAGCTGACAGTCTGCAGCTCCAACCTGACCGTCTCTGTACTTACTGTTTTTGTTCAGGTTTTTCTGCTAGTTAGTGCCTAATCTACTTCTATAGTTCCTTTCTTTCAAAGCTCAGGGCTTCAGGATTATCTTCTGTATCTCTGTCAATTGGTTTTTCTTTTCTTTGTTGAAGACGGTCTGTGTCGCTTGTCTGCCTATTCTTCCATCTTACTGGAAGTCCCTCAAATGGCATCATTTTGTGGGAGGAAACAGGACTCCTGAAAAACTTATTAGAACTTTTAGAAAGCTGCCTCATTTTTCTAATAAAGGCCAGTACTTCTGAGGTTGGCATCTATTCAACAGGAAACAGAGGTTGCTCTGTATGAGTAAGGAATGAGCTAAGTGTGATGTGCAGTAGAGAGCAGTTGCTGTGAGCCTGGAGTTTTTTCCTGCTTCCAAAATACTGGTATCAGAAGGCAAATGGATCTTGTTTCACGGACACCTAGTGAGAATGCCTCTCTCTTTCTTTGATAAACCACTCTTAGTCCTATTCTGCTGTCCAACACAGAAGCCTCTAAATAGCACATGTGGCTACTGAGCTCTTGAAATGTGGCTACTGTGGGCAAGGAACAGAATTTTAAAATTTATTTAATTTTAATTAAAAGTCTAAATTGAAAAACTGGTACTTGGTTCAGTTACTAGCAAAATGCAAGTTTGGAACAACTTGGCCATGTAAGTCTACTTTATTCAGTAAATTTTATGAAATCTCAGTGCAGATCAGGTATTTCTTATAAAAGATTGTCTGAATTAATACGTTCTTTAAGGGTACCATACATACCAGATTTCAGACTCAGTACAAAGAAAAAGGAATATAAAATATCTCATTACTTATTTTTATTTTTTAATATTGAGTACATGTTGAAATGATAATATTTTGGATATATGTGGTTAAATAAAATATTTTATTAAAATCAATTTCACCTGTTTGTTTTTCCCTTCTTTTAGTTTGCTACAGGAATATTTAAAATTAAATATTTAATTGGCCTTCATCATACTGATACTGGAGACTGCTGACTTAACTTATATTAAATGTTTCCTGACAAATGAAGAACATAATCTTAAATCATGTTTTTTGCTTATGGAATGACAAATATTAAATAATATTTTTCTTTTTGTGGTCAACTCTTTCTTATGGAACAGCAATATGCCAGAT